GCAAGAGGGACTTTGACTGGAACTGGGTACAAAGGACTCTTGCCAGTGGACCATGAGAGGGTACCACAGTACTTTGGATTAACTCGAGATCCTGCACAGTGACACAGCTGACGGTGCCAGCGGCCTGCAACACAGACGTGTGCTCTTTTCCTGATTTACGGTACCCGGAGTTGGGACAGTGGGAGAAGGGAGCGCTGTGTGGGTGTAGGTGTATACATAAAGGACTTTGATATTTTAGTGATGGCATTAGGCCTGAATAGCATTAAATAAACATTTTGTTTCCTTTTCACAAATCTTTGGCATTGAGAGATGTATTTCCAATTGGTAGCGAACAGAAGAGCCCAATAGATATTAGTATTCTGTTCTTGGGAGGGGCCCCTGTTGTATAGCAGTTTTGGGCATCCCTAGGTGGGCCAAATATTGTATTGCCCCTCCCTCCTCTTGTTCGGTAACAATGATAGTACATCTCTTTCATAAGATGGATTGTAAAGGATGATAGGAGTGGAGAACCACTGTGAAGTGTCTTCAGGGAGATACATATTAAGAAATAGCACTTAAGAAAGTTGGAGAACTGATGGTATCTGCCAGCCCCTCAGGAGTCTGTTGCAACATCCTTGACCTCCTTCCCAGGGTGCGTTTCAATTTGCAGACACAGGATCAGTGGACTAACCTGATTTCAGATCTAATTTTACCTCCACTGGCTCCATTAATCATTCATTTTACTATTCTCCACAAAGAACTGCCACGAGGAATAACAAATTTTATCATTTCATAATTTAAATTTTATAGATAGAATTTATGATGGGGGAGGGAGAAGAGTTATCTTAAGTTACCTAAACAACTAAAGAAAATATTTCTGACAGTGTTGCTAAGAATCTACAGATTTGAAGGAATAAACTCATGGCAGTGGATGGAAAGGAGAGTAAGGAAGAAAGTAATTTCTTACTATGTCCCTTTGATACTTCTTGGATATTTTACCACATGCATAAAAATATAAATAATGAAGTCATCCAGAAATAATCAGTGTGAATATTGTATTTTCTACCAGTCTTTTCTTTGTTTATATGATAAAGAGCTATGAACTAAAGCATATCTCATATTATACAACAAAATGAGTTCCTGATACTTGATGGTATATTAAATATGAAATATGAAATAAGAAAGGAAATGGAATAAAACATAGGTGAAGATATAACATTTCAAGGTGGTAGAAAAGGTTGTTTAATTTCATAACATAAACAATGGATGCAAACTGGAAGAAATTGATCATTTCTACTATGTATTATATTTTTCTTTCCACTACTTTACAAAGATGAGCAAAACCCAGCAAAATAATTTTTTATTTAGCCAATTTTCCCAGAATCATTTTTGAAATATTCTTTCTCATTTCCAAAGGAATGGTGATGCTCCCTTTGCCCATTTTAGTTGTTCTGTGTACTGAGACTGACAACCTTTGTTCTCACTAAGGGCTTATTTACGTATCTGCAGGCAGGATCATACATTCACAGAAAAGTTGTCCTTCTTTTATGAGGAAAGAGCAAAGGCACAATACAAAGACACATAAAGTGTTAGATTACCTAAAAAAATAGAAGTCAGAGAAGACAGAGAAACAGAATATGGACATAAAATGGTGCTTAGAATAAAGCTAAAAATAGATACATGTGCTAAACATGAGCCATAATTTTGGTTTAAATGGTCTAGTCATCAGAGAAAGGAAGCAACACAGTTAATTGCATAATTAACAACATACCCCACCCTCTCCAAGGAAACAGGCTGTTTAGGACTAGGCCTATATTTAGAACTAAGTGAAAAATCAAATGTCCCACAGGTAGTAATAAAAACATACCTTGTGATAACTTAAAAGCAAAACCCATAAAGGTGATTGATACTTTGTCATGTTCTAATCTCTGTAAGGATTTCTAGAAGGTGTCCTGTTTTGAAGATAATACTTTTTCCCCTTTTGTTTATTGGATTTTCCTCCTTTTCCTTATTTTCCATCTTTTTCTTTTTCTCTTATTTCATCTTCTTCTCCTGCTGTCCCTCCCCCTTCCTTTTCTTCTTCCACTGGGTGGTTGGCCATGAATCCTCCCCCGAAGTATTACCGACATTAGTGTGTTGAGATTTTTAATTTGCCATCTTTGGGGGTTTTGATGTAGATACTGTGCCTTCGCTGAAGAAGTAAAGTGGATGTTTTCTTCCCTCTATGTTCCATGTCCTGACACTATTGAATTATCACTAGAGAAATCCAGTCATTGAGGATTTGTTGAACTAGACCTCGAAATCAGCCGGTCTCCCGTAGCAGGCAGGCAAGGAGGGGTGATGGTGGGGATGTTAATGTGGGTCTTTGAAAAAAACCTATTTATTTCTTCAGATATTTGGTCTGTTTAAGTTTCCTTTATGGTCACTTTTGGTCATTTGTATTGTCCTAAGAAATCATCCAGTTTTCAAATTTAATTGCACAAATATCTTTCAAATGTCTTTTTATCTGCACTTATTTTCCCATTTTAATGTCTTATTTCATATGTAGGTGTGCTTTTCCCCCTCTTTTAGACTAGCTATTAGTTCCTCTATTTTATTGTTTATTTCTTTTTTTAATATTTCACATGAATTTTATTTTTTAAATCATTTTATTGTTTGAGTTATTGTTTATTTCAAATAATCAGCTGCTTTATAATTCATTAATTTCTGACTTTATATTTATTCTTCTTTGATTAATGTGTTTTATTTCTTTAACTTTTTGAGATTGATGTTTAATGCATTTATTTAAATTTTTTATTTATTAAAAGGTTTTTATCGTAAAGCATTTAACCCCAGGCCACCCTCAGCTTATACTTTAGATGTAAGTGATATGTGGTGTTTTCATTATTTTTATGCTTTATATATGCCAAAATTATTATTTTGATATCTCCAAGTCAAGGATTATTAAAGAGAGAAATTTTTAAAATTTTAGCTGGAAGGTCTTTGTTTCTGGTTCTTTTTTTCCCTGGGTTTATTTATTATTTTTCTATTTATTGCACTCTGTTCAGTTAATGTTTATTGTCTCTCAGTACTTTATCTGTTTTATAGTTGGGATTTTTTGTGGCTTAATATACACTGAATTTTTACAAATAGTCCGTAGTCACTTGTAAGTTGAGTTTCTTTTCAGCATATGGAGTTTAACCATTTCAATCAGTTATCTCATTAAGTTACTCTCGTCTTCTTTATGATTATTATTTTTTCTATCTATTTAGTATGTCCTGGTGTAAGATAACTGAACTAAAGTTCTTTCTACCTTTGCATTGTTAATATTTCTTCTTTATTTCTTGTAGCTTTCACTTGTTCATTCTCTTTACATTACATTTTTGGCGTAAAGATATTTGTGATGTCATATTTTTGCTGAGGATGATGACATTTATCATTACAATGGTTGTATGTTGAATTATGTTCCCCCAAAAACGTATGTTGAAGTCCTATGTGTAAGTACCTCAGAGAGTGATCTTGTTTGATAACAGGGTTTTTGCAGATGTATTCACATTAAGAAAAGCTCGTAGGATAGACTCTGATTCAGTGGGACTAGTGTTCTTATAAAAGGGGGCTTTGGTAGAGAATGAAACTTCTTTTCTGCCCAACACCAGTGACCTTTAATATGACACATTATTTCCAATACTATCTTCATAGGGTCAAACCCAGTTAGAAAATTTCAAGAGAACCTAATCAAGAAATCCATGTTATAATCAGAATCACAAAATTCTTCTCCAATAGATCATTTTGATGGGAACTTTGAAGGAAAAAAAAAAGATCAAAACCTTAGAAAGAAGAGAAAAGAGAAGCACATTCCCAGATGATTCACTGTTCCTTGCAGATTTTAAAGCGGGTTTACTTATGTACTTTCAAATAAGTTCAAAAAAATTGATTATTTGGAATGAAATAACATTAATTAGGAAAGAGCAATATTAATTATAAAAAAGCAGAGGAAACTCTAGTTTCATGTGTCTATTTCTGTCATACCACCATCTGATGGCAGTATACCCTCAAATTACAGATTCTGATTTTTAATGTTTCACACCAAAGTCTGCTACTGAAATGATGGTCAGTGTACTATTCACTTGTAGGGCATCTGGTATTTCCAGACAATGGTATATAAAGATTTCGGGGGCATAATCTCTTCTCTCAAGGATCTTCCAGTGTCCTGGGGAGAGGCACATGCACAGATAATTTTAATAACGGTGTTCAAGGCATATCATAGAGTCTTAGAGACTCTTAGCCTCATATAGAGATGAGGTGAGATTTGCACAAGGAGATGGCATCTGGATTGAGTTTTAATAGGTCCAAATTCCCCAGATTAAAATACGAAGTAAAATGATAAGTACAGGGTCTGGCGCAAATAACACCCTTATTTATTACATAAAAATCTTTTGTTACAAAATCATAAGCATGTAATTCGGCAACATAACAGTATCACACTCAAGCACATCATATGACATTTTAGGTGAAATCTTCAAATTGCTGTCCACCTGGTAAGAGACAGTCACCTACACTACCAACCACATGGAATGGCCTTGCTTCTACCAGACCCTGTATTATGAAAGGGCAGAAGATGACTAGTTTATTTAAGGAAGAAAAGAGGCGGTTGTATTCACAGGACTGGAATACAGGTGTACATTTCAGGGCTGATAACCCACTAAACATCCAAATGTGTTGAACATCTGCTATATGCCGGACATCCATACAAGAAGAACAAAACGTGTGCAGCCTTTGCCCTACTACAGCTTTTCTTCTGGAGGGTAGGCAGGCATTAAGTATAAACTATAAATCCAAGGAATTATATTCACTCCAAAGAAGAAACAAGGAAAACAATGGTTAAAGAGGGTGGACACAGAGATGGCAGTTGGGAGGAAGTGATGTTTTAGATGAGGCCATCAGAGAACATTAGACACTTAACCACTTGATAAAATTATATATACTATCACCATGCCCATGGCTGAAGTCTGCTAGCTAGGTAACAGTGAAAATGTACTTACCAACACTTGCCCCACGAAGGTCTGTGCCGAAAGTAACATTTCTATATGATCCCGAAATTCCCCATGGAGTTGGAGGCTTTTTAAATGTTTACTACCGATGATCTTTGACAAGATTAGTTTCTATAAGGAAGAGAAAGGAACTGAGTGTGAGCCGGACCTCAGACAAAGTCATCTGTTGACAGATCCTTCTGCTGTGGCATCAGTCAGAAATTACCCCACATAGTTAGCCCAAACCCATGGAACCCTATTTTAAGAGATGAATTTTACTGAGTTTGCATTTGACTGGTCTTCTGAACAGCTTTTTAACACTGAGTTTGACAGTCTTCATCACGCTTCTCTCACACACTCTCACTCCCAGACCCTTCATTGACATGGTGCAGGACTGAGAGCCTCACTCAGGGGCTCAGGGGACGAGGGTCTTATCCTTTTCCATCAAGATACATGGGCAAAGAAAAAAGATTACGAATGGATTTTTAGGTGACTACGTAAGTAGTTGCTTTTTCTGAGAGAAAAAGAAGAAAAGAAGTTTTCAAAATTTGATGTTCCTTTTAGTTCCTTATCTAGTATTGTGTCCCGACGAAATTATAATTCATCCTCACATTTGCTAAATGCCTTTACCTATTATATATGAACTGTATAATAATCCTGTGATGTAGACAAATTACGATTAAGTCCATTTTATGTTGATAAGGAAACTGAGGTATGGAGAAATTAAATGACTTGCCCACAAGCAGGCAGTCGGGAAAGATGGAGTCTAAACTCACCACGTCTGTTGCTGGTCTTGAACTAGCATCGAGAAAAACACAATCAAATGAGGACTGACCACATCATGCTGCCTTGTACCCTTTGACTTTTAGAAAAGTTCATGTTAGGTAGGGCCAGGATTTTGAAATGACTTGATTTTTCTACTCATATTTTCTGAGTGGTAGGAAGAGAAATCTTAATAAATAACTATTGGGTCGAGTTCATATCTTCATCAACAATTTGCCCTTTCGTACCTATAATTCATCATGTGCATTTCTGAGATGTTTGAGAATCGAGTTTTAAAAAATGTTTAATATGACATTAATATAGAATACCCATTTGAATTTCATCCTAAAATTGGAGGTGCCTTCGGTGGAAAACAAATTGGCCCTAAGATATAATAAAATTATACTTACTAACATAGTAAACCTTTTTAAAATGGATATTTAAGGAGAAAAATTATGACTTTCCAAATAATTTTTACAAAACAGTACCAGATTTGTGACATTTTTTACATTAGACCAAGTTTCCAAAAGCTGAGAGAAAATATATGGCATTCTCAATTTGTATTAGTATAACAAATTATTGAGAAGTCACTCAATTTTTATCGAAGTACTCAAACCTCAAAAGCAGAACAGTACAGTACTCTGGTTTCTTGGACCTCATTCCTTAACATTTTGTAACATTTGCTTCTTAATTAAAAGGTAGAACTCCAGACCAAAGGGTAGACAGGAATTACATCCAAAGAAATGAAAAATATAGCAAATATTTATGGGCAAATGTGTTCTCACATTTTGGTGACTACATGCAAATGAATATAATGGAGAAGAAGCTATACAGTTCCTGGAACAGGAGTCTAAGAGGATTAAATAATTCTGTTCACTGAATTAACTGTGCATTGAAAATAGGAAAGAAGGCTAACTCACCAACCTGTGTGTATACTCTGTCAGTACCCCAGAATTCTTTCCCCAGTTTTTATGTCATTACTTAAAGTGTTTCATCTAGAAATAATTAGTAATAGAGTGAACTTATTTTGTGACAGAATCTGTGAACGTCAATATTGGGTGCTTCTCGAATGCAGAAGCCTGAGTTCTGCAGTATGAGATTGCCAATGATCTTAAAAAGTTACCAAGCTATTATAAATTCTGTTATTTTGTCAATGTGTAGCATGAAGAGAAATGTTCTAAGCAACCTTGCAGTGTTAATTATACTGTCCAGATGAAATGTGTTCTGTTATGAAAATTACTATAATCAGAGAAACAAAGTTTAGGAAACAAGATTTACAAACAGTCCACACAGGGCATAATAAAGCCCTTTCCCTGGGGCCACTAGTAGTGGAATAGCAGTTATGTAGCATTTGAGAGTTTTATCTCAAGCTCTTACATGATATCTTATCTGGGTAAGATACCATTGTTTTCAGCATCTTCTGCCAGGTGTCATTCAATACCGCTCACCCTTGCTAAACTTGTCTCGGTATGAAAAGGTCTCTGCATTTGAGGCAGGATGTCATGTGTGTGTAGGTGTGGGCATCCATGTGATAGTATGTGTAACTCAGGTGTTGTGTTAACATGGTATACAAAGGGCAGTGCACATATGTGAATGCATGCCCACCACGAATGATGGATTTCTGAAAGCGAGGGCAATTTTGGTGCTCCTTTTTGCCTCCCTCACAGGACCTAGCACAGCTGCCATTTAAAAATTCAAAATAGAGGCATAAACATAATGTTTGTGGGTGGGGGGTTTTGTTGTTGTTTGTTTTTGTTGTTGTTTTCTTTAGAAAAGCCATTTCTGTCTCCAGAGCTACCATTTCATCAGCAGCCACACAAGATATTTCTTCTCCAAACTGTAGGAGAGGAGGCCCGACCTTGTCCCTTTGAAGCAGTCAGTGACCTGGGGTCTGATTTTGGCCTCAAGCAGATCAGCTCCTTTCTAAGGCACCAGATCAGAGCTGCCTCTGTTAGCCTGTAAAAACTGAGCGAAGCCTTAATCATTTTCTAAACACAAACACATGATTTCTAAATCAAACCTGTCTCTGATCTTCATACAGTGGGATCTCAAATAAGGAAACTGACCAAGAGAATTCCTGTTCCCTTGATGTTGTGCAATTTCCTTATGACCGTCCAGATTTGCCTGAAAAGGAACAAGATGAGAAGTCCACAAAAGAAAGTCCCCAAGGAGGAAAAAATAAACGCAGCTTGGATCTCAGTTGTGCAGGATATTTTCCCCAGTTCTTGCCCATTCGCATTTTGTAGCTTGGTTTGAAACATCAGGAAACTGAATATCAGAATTCTATGATGTCATGATCACGTGGTAATGATTCTAGGAATTAGAGTTCAGTGCATTACAGAGTCTTAACGCTGGGTGCAATACAATGAGTGTTCTAAGAACACAAGTTGGCTAATCACAGAGGGGCTGACTCGTAGGATACAAATGAATGAACAGGGGGAGAAAGCTGGGGTCCACAACAGGGGCCTTAAGATGCTATGAATTCTAGATCTCATTCTGTTACTTTCTCCTTGACCTTCAGGAGTCTACATCCTTTTGTGGCCATGGTTAACCGGCTCTCTGTTTGGTTTATACAGTCAAACAATGTCAGAATAACTCTTTTTTAAAAAAAAATTATTTATTTATCTTTAGAGAGAGGGGAAGGGAAGGAGAAAGAGAGGGAGAGAAACATCAGTGTGTGGTTACCTCTCATGGGTTCCCTGCTGGGACCTGGCCCACAACCCAGACATGTGCCTTGACTGGGAATCGAACTGCGACCTTTTGTTTTGCAACCCGTGCTCAATCCACTGAGCTATACCAGAATTACTCTTTTCGAATGAAATGACATCCAACCATCTGTGTGTCGGTGTATTGGTTCTTCACCTGAGCAAATAGCACACTCTCAGTAATCTTCGAAAGGCAGATGAGAGGAGAACTTCAAGATTTTAGTTTATCCTTTCTATAAGAAAAGTATGGGATAGAGTACAGATATCATAGAAGGCAATTCTGCCAGGGTGAGCACTGGTCAATTGTTATTTGAACCTGCGACTCTGTTCCCTTGACTTCTTTATGGGACCTTACCCTTTCTTGTGTTTATCTCTGCCCGGTCAGCAAGCCCTTTGGTTCAGCAAAGGTAAAGTTCAGAATGAGAGCAATTTCTTCTGTTTTCTCTGATGTTTTCAAAGGTGTAAGAAATGTCCTGCCTTTCAGTGTTTATAAGTGGCAGGAAAAATGTCAGAGCCTGAAGGGGGGGTCTATTCCCCCCAGTTACTGGGAAGATGACCTGACATGAGACCCGAGAGAAACTTTGTTGTGCTTTGCAGTCTGCCATGGCTCTGCTTTGGGTGTCAGACTAGTTGTAGAAGACAGAAGCATTTCCCAGAGCCATTGCCATGGTTAGAGTTCCTTCCTTTAAGCTCACCTATAATTTCCACAAAACCAGGCCACTAAGCTAGCGAACTAGCACAGGGCAGTGTGACAAAGAACTCTGGTTGAGGAGCTCGGAGCCCTGGGTCCCAGCCCCAGTTCTTATAGTAAGTTACTATGTGATGTCTAACAAGTCACTGTGCTTCTCATAGTCTTACTTTGTGTGGATGAGAACATCTACTTATTGTCAGGATTCAATAAGGTTTTATATTGAAAGACATAAAGCTCCATATAAGAAGAGTTATTTCTGTTCCTTTTCAGTGGCATTGATTACGAAGGAAGGAGGAAGGGAAGAAGGAAGGAAGGAAAGAAATAGGGAGGGAAGGAGGAATTGTTTGTTAATATTACACACTGATACACACACCTATAGCTATTTGGAAAATTAGGTCAGTTTCAAAGTCAATGTTTGTTCATGTCATTTACTTATTCTGATCTCACTTAAGTAATGGTGGAGCTATCACCATCAAAGAAATTTTCTAATTTTCCTAACTTGCTCTTTAATATTGTCATAGTATTACCAGTTCTTTCCAAGATGCTGTGTGGGTGTCTTTTCCCTTTTCCAAGAAATAAATCTATAAGAAGAAAATAGATTTAATTTAAATAGACAGGTAGTTCGTCCCTCTAATATTCTGTTATTGTTATGTAATTAGCTTCTGTGGATAAGTCAAAAGTGTCCGAAAATGATTTCAAAGTCAGTCCCTCCAAATTCCTCTTGAACCTGGGGTGTTCTAGCCAGGCTTTTGTCACAGGGGACAGTGTGTGACAGAGAAAAGCTGCCACTTGTAACTTGGTAGCAATTCAGTGTTCACAGCACAGGAGGCAGACAACTTTGAAGCAACGTCACCCTTCACAGAAACTAAGAAAGTGCTCCCTGTACTCGAGAGTTTAAAGAAGCATGAAATAGTGTCTATTTTGTGGGCTACCAGCAGAATCTTTGTCAAAGGTGTGCATGTGTATGTGTGAACACATGGTGTGTGTGTGTGTGTGTGTGTGTGTGTTTGTACCAGGCTCTGGAAGTACAATGGTCAACAAAGCAAACGTGGTTGACCCCGGACAGGCCAGGCGGTCCAGGAGGACATTTGCAATTAGAAACCAGGGGAAGTGTTTGGGGGGAAAACATGTAGTGGAAGGAGGAACCCGAACTAAGTGGGGAGATCAGAGGCTGTGCCATGTTTGAAGCTGAGGTTTGAAGCCCGAGAAGCTACCTAGGCCAGGAGCCCTGGTGGGCTGGGGAAACTGGGCACATGTATTGTTGGCAAGGGTGGAAAAGGGATGGCACTCCGATCGGTGGTGGGTGGAGAGCCACGATCCGAGAGAGGCCTTGTGTTCCAGTTTGAGGTACGAAAATGCACACACACACTTTATGATAAGAGGAAACACTGAAAGGACTTGAAAGAAGGGAGTTACGTGATTGAGTGCCGGTTGTGAAAGGATCGCCCTGGCTTCCAGTTGGAGAAGACACTGCGCCAGAGAGGAGGCGAGTTCAGTGAGCGTGCGGTGGGTGGGACAAGTAGACGGCCACGAGGAAAGGCCAGGGCCGGAGGGCTGCACACCAGTGTGTGGGACGCGAGTGTGAGGCTGTGTCACTGCCGACCCTGCACTGCTGGCTGGAACCTCGGGGTCGTGGCTGGGCCCTTTTAAAAACTAGATCTAAGAAATGAACAACACATGCTACTGAAGATTTTTTTAGGATGAATTTTTTAACATGTCAATGATTTGATTAAAAAAATAGCTTCGCTTTGTACACATCTCCATAATTTACTTCTGGGCACTCAAATATTCTGGAAAAATTATACTTTATAATGAGTTTGAACATATGTTTCATTTTAAAAATTTACTTTCTTCAAGAAATGTGCCATACTTGGAAAAGGATAGAACTTCATTTTTAAGTGTATTTAACAGTCATGAATGTGTGGGTGTGTATTTAATGCTTCTGAGAGAAGTAAATCATTTTGTAATGTTATCTGTTAAGGACCTATACCCAGCTGTCACACTTAGTGGTAAACCCCTCCTTCTTCTGGTTCTGTAGGCAGACGTTCATTTCTTACCCCCAGACAATCCCCACACCACTGGTCAAACACTGGCGAGGACACACTGGGCCTCAGTTCGTGCAGCTCGTCAGTGACAGAACCAGCTCTACGGTCAAGAACGAAGATGTTTTTATCCCGAGAACCCTCACATCAGCGCGAAAGCACATCACACTAGCTGTTTCTTGGGTAAACATCTTTCTGCTAATTTATTGTATCCATCACTTTGGGAATGTTACTTAAAAGATTAATGTCTCCGGTTTTCAAGGTGTTTACAGGCCTGAGTCTTTACCTTTCATCTTCTTAATGTTTCCTTTTTGGTTTAACTCCTCAAGTTTCATGGAATAGGGCAGATTGTATATTTACCACTTCTAGAGAAAGGTTACTTGTGAAGGAATATGATTTAGTCCATATTCTGTTTAGATTCACAACCTACCCAAATTCACCCTTTAAAAAAAGCACCACACGTTTTTCTTCACTCTGTTTTTTTCAAAATGGATGAAGGACAGCAAGACGCTCCACGTGGGAGGCCCTTTAATCCGCTACAATGTCCCTGCTCTTTGGGTGGTTTTCTTTTCAGAAACCGTCAGTTCTGGGGAGACGAATATTAAAAACAGTGTAATTATATTTAAAATCCATACAAGCTTGAGATTTGTTTCTACCTTTTCTTCAAATTCGTCGGTTTCCTTCTGAGATGCAAGTCTTTGGATGAGCTTCTTACGCTCCCCAATCTCAGTTTTCTCATCAGTAATATGAGGAGGCTGGACTGGTATTTGGGCTCCCTACCCGCTTTTGGCCATTCTGAATCTTTGCTTGTGTAGTTCCAGATTACGTTTTGAGCAGATTATCATTTTTGAAAATGATATTTCTGATGTATCTGATATTTCCTAGATGGATTCTTTTTGGGAGAAAACAAACAGAAAGGAAGAATCCTTGATTCTGAGTGTTTCTTCTTGTTTTGAAGGCATATCTTCTTGATAAATTAACCTGAGTTTCATCTCAGATCTCGTGGAATTACTTTTCTTCAGCGGGAATAGGCTTAACTTGGCCACAGTCTCTGATTCCGTCTCTGAACCCAGAGCCTCTTTCCTTTGTGATCTCATTACGAATATGCTGACCTGTTTGCCAGAGAGATGATCACGTCCCCTCTCTCTGCTCCGCCTCCTGTTCCTGTTTCTCACTTGTTCGCTTTCTGTAGCGATGCAGTTACGGTTCATTTTGGGTATTTGCAAACTGCCCGTGTGGGTCCACGTGTCTATCAAATACATGAGGGTTTTACTTGGGTGAATTGCTAAGTGCAAAGTGGAGAATTTTATAAGCCTCTTTCATTTCTGATTTGTTATTCTTAATTATTGCACTAAATGTTTGGAGGGTGGTCTTTATAAATTTTGGTATAACAAAAAAAAAATGTTAAGCTGTGAAACTTCTCCAGTTGGCCAGTAGATGGAAGTATTTCATAGGTAACTAACCAGCAGCAAGGTTTGGTTCGATTTGGTTTCCTTTTTGTTTTTTTAAAGAAAGATGGAGGACACCGCTGGAAAGAAGTAGAAAGAAGAAATAAAAAAACAGAAGCTAAGCAAGGAAGAGAGGGACATCCAATGCGATGAAGTACAGGGCTTCCCAACTCAGCCTCATGAAAAACCCATCTCCCATTCAGTTTCTGTTTATCCTCTGTGACTACCTCTTTTAAAAGAATAGAAGGATAAATTAAACTGTTGATAACTCTGGAGTTTTTTTTCCTAATATCTCTATGAATCTTTGAGAGCCCTAAAAATCTTTTCATGAGAAATGAATAATGCAGCCGGTCTATTCAGCAGTCAGGCCAGCCG